ACAGGCAACCTCCGAACCTGGGGCCCAATCGTTGTCAAAACCTCCAAGCATGGTGGCCAAGAAATTAGGTCTCAGGGCCAGCCTTTAGTAGCAGATTGGCTAGTAGGCAGTTCATGCATCAGACCCCAGGGTGGTTTTCACCCTATCCCAAGGGTATAAGCATCAATTCCGATGCTGGCCTTCAGCCGGGTCGCAATGACTAACATCACCGTACCGGCAAAATCCCTAGCCCTGAGCCAGGAGTTAAGGTCCTGGGTCCTATTGAGGCTGGACCCTCTGTCACAACCTGCTGGGGTAATACTTGAGGCTACCTTCTGGTAAGAAAGAGAGGCTTCGGACTACGTACAGTCACCGACCTGAAGTATAAGTCCTGCAGTGTTGCCACAGGCAGCTACTTTATTTTCTGCCCAGAGGGCTTCGACTCGGACCCTCTCCATGGGTGCTTACAGGGTGTGTGACGACTGCCCTTTCCTCCAGTAACTGTAGGGCGAAAGATACTGCTGCACATAGGCAATTGGCTAAGTGTGGCCCACCTGGCAGCACAGGGCATTGCTTACCTCCTCTCACGTGGCTCGGTGGGGCCTCAAGGTGAACACGAGGTGGAACCACCCTAGCCCTGCTCAGAGCACTACCACCGTTAGGGTGGCCCTGTCCGTCGCCCCAGTGCATGTGGACGACTTCGCCACAGCCTCTCCCCTTCTAAGAGGTAGACGGTTGCCTTACATATTTTTCCGCCTATAGGGTGGACTGACGGCTGCACAGCCTTTACTTGTATGCCAAGTCTCGGGACAATAGTAGCATCACTACCTTATCCCCAGGGAGTCCCTGTGGCATTTTGTCTGTAACAGCAGATACCTGCCTCCGAAGGCAGCGCGCAGGGGTGTAGAAAAGGGCACTGCTCTGAACCACAGGAGCCTGCCAATGTTCAAGAGCTAGCGCTCAAGCATTTCCCGCTATGCCGTAAGGGAAAGCAGGCGTTTGTCTGGTTGGAAAACACCTCTGCTGTGTTGACGACAATATCAGGGGGGGCAACTGATTACGCTTACCTGGGCAGCCTTTGCCTGACCAGCCTTCGGGCAATAACCCAGCCAGGAGTGGCTACTGCATCCAGAGTTGATGCTGACCCACTGCCCTCACCGGTTCACCCTGACAGAGGGGACCACCGCTCTGGGTCAAGATGCTCTGGCTCACACGTGACCAGAGAACCCTCTTCAGGCCTTTGCCTCTGATCTGTTCTTTACGACGAGAGGAACCTCTTGTTGCAACCAAAGGGCTGGGTTTGGCATCCCAATCCCTTCAACTATGGACCTGGCTACAAGAAGACCTGACTGGGCGCCAGGTGGTTACAAAAATCAGTCAAACCGACTTCTGAATCCCAGGGCGCGATGTACCGAGAGGCAAAAACTGATGGAAACTGGAAACAGTGTGCCGTTCTCAAAAAGACCCCGGTACAAGGCCCTGTGCCTGCTGTACTTGGGTTTCCAAGTCCCTCCTCTATAAAGGCCTGTCTCCCTCTACCATTGGATTATGATAGGGGGAGGGCTCCGCAATCACGTCCTGCGAGCGGCCAAAAAGCCACTGTATGAGACGTACCCTTGGCATTGGAGACCCTAGACGTGCCTTTTGAACCCCCGACACAGGTGGAGCCGAGATGGCTAGTGGCCAAAAGGGGTATTTCTCTCATTGCCATCGCAGCCGCTAAACCTATACGCGAGCTGCATGCCCTGCTGGTGAGCAAATCATATCTAAGGGTACCTCAAATTACTCTGTGAGTAATGCCAGAGCAAGAACATCTGATTGGCTACAGATCAGGTCCATGTTGAAAAATTGCATTTGTAGATCTGACGTCAGAATAGTCTCAAAAAACCCACACACAAATGTGAAGCGATCTGCAAACAAATGCAGTGCGATCAGCAAACAAATACATCTACAAATATGAATCGTAATTTATTTATGTGTGCATTGAAATGCACATGTAAATCGAATATGTTGGTGAAGTGCTCTGTGCACATTTGTATTGGAATCTTCTTTTTGCATTTGTCTTTCTGTGTGCATTTGCAGTGATTGAGACTGATTTGACTCCATAGGTAACTGGTATGCTATCATTATCGCACAAAACTGAACAAATACATTTTCTTGCAAAAGTATTGTAAAAGTCTTATAATATCCACAGAAAAAACGGCATACTTATATTATTAGCTACCTTCAAAATGCAGATGAAAGCACTCAGACCTTCGTAAAGTTACGAAATGCACAGAGACAAAAAAAGTATATATTTTTCGGTCTCTAAAGAGAGAAAGAATGAGATGGCAGAGGGACTTGAGCTGTGGGCAGAGGAGAGAGATGCTGATTGATTGGCAGGTGGTTTTCTGTAGAATAGCAGATTCCATTGCGACTGAAAATAATTCTCCTTTTGTTCTACCACTTGGGCCATTATTACTGAAAACATGGTGTGCACATGTTCATCCATTACAATGACAAACACAAAAAAACACAGGTCTGCATTGACAAATATGAAACTCGTCCAGAATGTAAATATTCATGCAAATTCAGTATTTCTCCCACATCATTTTGCTCTTTCTCAACGTTACCTTCCACCATGAATAAGTATGAGGAAATAATTTTATATAACCTCAGCAGTGTGTCCTCCCCCGCCCAGGGATCCGTAGAGAGTTAAAGGGAAAGCGGTGGAGGCATCAGTAGACAGAGGCAAGGAGATAGAGCAGCAGGCAAGATCTTAAAAGGAAGGTGTGGCTGTTCTAATGTTTTGACTAACAGTCGCAAATTCCCTTTAAATCCAGTCTGCTGGGTGTTCTGTGCCTGCGGCGGGCTGATGATGATTAAAAAGAGGAGGAGGAGGAGATAAGAGGAAGAGACCAAAGAAGATCAAAAAAGAAACCAGGCAACGATTTTAAAGCTGGGAGAAAGAAAAGATTTAGGGCGTTTTTGTTTTACGTTTTACGTTTGGGGCAAGCCGAGCTCGCCCCAAAACTATACAATAGCTTTTTTTTTAGGTTAAAAAGACGACACCTTTGAACAAAAAGGAAATTGTGATTGGCACAACGTGCCAAACGTGATTTTGAATACACTGAAGCGGGGTTTTCACAGTCTGAGACTCAGGGGCTTCCTTCACACCAACCTTTGGTTGTCTCCATAGCTTCATTCTACTCATAATTATATATTTTGATCCCATAGACAACATATGTCAAACTCGCGGCCCGCGGACCAAATCTGTCCCGCCGGATGACTTTGCTATTGTGAGAATTACGCTTCTGCTGCTTTAATATCCACTTCTGCTTCTTAAATACAGATTCGTTATGCACTGCACCATCCCAGTCGGCTGTACCGTCTGCGCCTGCTTTCGATCAAAGTGGGGAGTAGCTATCTCAAACCTTAAATGAGTTTCACACCCCTGCCATAGACACTCAACAGTTGATCCAGGATAGCTGAATATAATACCATAATGATAATAGTAATAACAACTTCAAATACAGTGGGGAAAAAAGTATTTAGTCAGCCACCAATTGTGGAAGTTCTCTCACTTAAAAAGATGAGAGAGGACTGTAATTTTCATTATAGGTATACCTCAACTATGAGAGACAAAATGAGAAAAGATAATCCAGAAAATCACACATTTTTAATGAAATTATTAGCAAATTATGGTGGAAAATAAGTATTTGGTCAATAACAAAAGTTCATCTCAATACTTTGTTACATACTCTTTGTACCCGTCCGTTACACGGATCAGTCGACGTTTCCACTCCCAATCTTCACAGTAGGTATGGTGTTCTTTGGATGCAACTCAGCATTCTTTCTCCTCCAAACACGACTAGTTGAGTTTCTACCAAAAAGTTATATTTTGGTTTCATCTGACCATATGAGATTCTCCCAATCCTCTTCTGGATCATCCAAATGCTCTTTAGCAAACTTAAGACGGGCCTGGACATGTACTGCCTTGAGCAGGGGGACACGTCTGGCACTGCAGGATGAGTCCCTGGTGGCGTAGTGTGTTACTGATGGAAGCCTTTGTTACTTTGGTCCCAGCTCTTTGCAGGTCATTAACTAGGTCCCCCCGTCTGGTTCTGGGATTTTTGCTCACCGTTCTTGTGATCATTTTGACCCCACGGGGTGAGATCTTGCGTGGAGCCCCAAATTGAGGGACATTATCAGTGGTCTTGTAGGTCTTCCATTTTCTAATAATTGGTCCCACAGTTGATTTCTTCACACCAAGCTGCTTACCTATTGCAGATTCAGTCTTCCCAGCCTGGTGCAGGTCTACAATTTAGTTTCTGGTGTCCTTTGACAGCTCTTTGGTCTTGGCCATGGTTGGAGTTTGGAGTGTGACTGTTTGAGGTTGTGGACAGGTGTCGTTACGTTAATAATATAATAATACATCTTGTTTGCAGGTCACCAAATACTTATTTTACAGAGGAATTTACCAATTCATTCATTAAAAATCCTACAATGTGATTTCCTGAATTCTTTCCCCCCATTCGGTCTCTTGGTTGATGAGTACCTATGATGAAAATTACAGGCCTATCTCATCTTTTTAAGTGGGAGAACTACAATTGGTGGCCGACTAAATACTTTTTTCCGCCACTGTAACACCAAATACATAAAGCGAGGGTTCAGGAAACTACTATCTTAGCTATTTCTGAAGAAAACTAAATCCACCTATAGGTATCTTGAAAATGTAATAATTAAATCTCTCTGGTTTGATCTGTATGCAACTGATTGCAGTTATTTTTGTTGAGTTGTGGGGGATTATCTGATCCCTTGACTAAAAAGCTGTCATTTTCTAAAGAGTTGCCACCGTGAGGTTGCCAAGCATCAGAATTCTCATCTAACTGTTGACAAATAGGAAAATGTGCATATTTGATAGAATGTAAATTAATTAGAATTACATAAATAAACTGTACTTTCTTCCAGTTAACAAAATCTGTATATTTTGCCTTACAAAGAGCAGTACAGCACGTGTCTGGCCCCTTTCCCATTCTTACATTTACTATGGCCTCTTTGGTCTGGGCCATGTCGGAAATGACACCGTCTGTGATGATGAGGAGCACAAAATACTGAGAGCCGTCCTGCACCGCAGCTGCATACCTGCACACACACGCAACAGATACAAACACACACTTGTTTTTGTACTTCAGGTTAATCAAAATGCCTCACAAAAACTCATTGATAAATAAGTCCAAACTATTAAGTTTGATACAAAGCTGGTTTAGTCTTTTCGATTCAAAAACAATCTTGCCCACTCAAATGCTAAATACCAATATTGGTTGTGTATTCTTACAGGTAATCTATGTTTATTATTTTATTAAATCAGAGTATTGACATATCAGATGAAGAATGTTTAGGATGGTACTCAAACAATGAGAAGCGGAGGGTTGTCACTACCAGACACCATTGTTTGCTGACTACGGACCCGTTGCATTGCCTATGCAATTTGCGTTGCTGTAACGCTGGCAGGGAGCTGTGATTGGTTGAAAATGAGGGCGACATCTGATTGGCTACAGATCATGTCCATGTTGAAAAATTGCATTTGTAGATCTACTGACGTCAGAAGAGATTCAAAAAACCCACACACAAATGTGAAGCGATCCGCAAACAAATACATCTACAATATGAATCGTAATTTATTTATGTGTGCATTGAAATGCATTTGTAAATCGAATATGTTTGTGATGTGCTCTGTGCACTTTTTTTTTGAATCTTCTTTTTGCATTTGTCTTTCTGTGTGCATTTGCAATAAGTGAGACTGATTTGACCCCATAGATAACTGGTATGCTATCATTATTGCACAAAACTGAACAGAAATACCTTTTCTTGGAGAAGTATTTTCTGATATCCACAGAAACCACGGCATACTTATATTATTAGCTACCTTCAAACTGCATTGCTCTCTCACCTGGCAACATGATTCACAACAGGAGCAAAGTTAGTTGGCCCGTAGAGCTGCACTGTCTTCAGACTCTGGTGGTAAGCCTCTAAGATACCCTCAATACCATTGCAGTATGGATTGTCCATGTCTCCATTCTAAGAAAGACAGAAGGTGAAATTCAATTTCATGTAGTTGGTGAATTAATTTATCAAACAAAGAAAAAACAACATATTTGTCATAGTGTTTATTAATTTTCATTAAAAAAAAAAATTAAAATTAAAATGATTTTTAATTGCTATAAATGGGTCCTGTGTAAAATCCACAGATTAGAATTAATAGATTAGCAATAAATTATAGCTATGATTCAGTGGCAAGTAAATTGAAAATAATAAAGATGAAATATACTTGATAAAGATCGGTTGAACTGATGAATCAGGTGGGAGAAGGAGAGCTTGACTTTACCAGGGGAAACTCATGTGAAACCCGTCCATCAGGGGGCAGTTTGGCTCCAAAGCCCAAAGCGGGGAACATCTTGTCACTGTCGTAATCCTGAATGATCTCCCCCACAGCCTTCAGGGCCATGGCGTAAGCGTTCAGCTGGTAGGGGTTCATGTAGTGCAGTGAAGTGGATTGGGACGGGTTGCCTGTCGAGGAAATAAATCCATCTTGAGATGATTGTGGGTAATGAGGGACAAAGACGTCACTTCTTTAATGCAAGATGCAGAGATGTTTTGGAGCAACGGTACAACAATAAAAAACTGTTTAGTTTGCTACAGCGATGATCTTGTGATTATCATGATTCCTCTATAGCAGAGCTTTCACTTTAAGTCTTTAGAGATGATGAATCATGGCTTAAAATTCAGAAGTTTGTGACACAATGAAGGCCAATCCATTCATTAACAGTGGGAGGAAAGCCATTGTGAAGGTGATCGGGAAGCTATTAGTGGATAGTGGCTGTTCGGGGTACGGATTTAGCAATAATCGTTTGGGAAATTATAATTTGATTTAATAGCTTTGACCAAAGAGCTCTTCCTTGTGATAAACCTTGTGCCTGTAGCATTTTGTGTTCAGGCATTATTTTAGGCATAAGTAGTACGATTGGACTTAAGTGTGGTCTTTTCACGATTAGCTGATGGTTATTACCCCATACGGTTCATTTTATTCTGAGCTAAAATGTCTGCAATAACCTTTATTTAGTGTATTGGCTAGGCCTCTAGGGAGGGCAAGATATCCAGGAAAGGCGATCACTTAAGAGTAACAGTGTGTGGTCAGCATGTGCAACGTCTGAGCTTGGACATGCCACAGTCAAAAAGCTCTACAATCTATTATGTCCTCCCCCTCAACACACCACTTGGTATCACTCACCATTGGATGCTGTGAAATCGATGGCCACAGTGAAATTGATCTGCGTTCTACAAGGGTGACGGAGAGGAGGACATGGGAAAAAAAAAAAATCAAAGACATAGACCAGCCAGCAATAACAGGTGGGCCCCATTAATTTCTAGTGCTCTCACACCCAGTCACGCACACACACTCACACAGGCAGGCAGACACAAACACCCACACACACACACGTTCTGTGGTATAAGAAAGGATGACATCTAAGACAAAGGAACTATTTTCTATCATGATATGGTTACCAACATATAAATATTTAATGGGCGTTTGTTTTGCTGGGTTAAGAAACACTAGTAGAGTTGATCAGTTGTCCAATAAGATAACACTTTTACCTTGCTCAACTCCCATTAGAAGGCGTAGTCTGCCTTCAGACACTGAGCTGGGTAACAAGCTATTGATGGAGCACTTAATATCAAATGATAATCCAATTTTCCCAGCTGATGAAGCACTTGCCTCTTCTTGCCATTTACGACATTGAGAAAAGACCTTTTGGGGGCCTTAATGGCACCTCCTATGAGCAAACAGAGATGAAGGCCAGAGTAATAAAAATAAATGAGATCTACATTAACCTTTTGGTGTGGTGTGGGGATGTGTGTGAGCCTGCTAATCTTAACACTAATTACACTTAATCAGTTCTAAGGGCTGGAATATTCTTAACTTCCTTCTAAACAACATGGCAGCAAGAAGTTAGTACAAGCTGCAAAAGTGTCCGTTATTTTAGAATATTTGGCATTGAAGGCTTCTACTATAGAAAATACGCTTCAGTTCTTCTCCCAACTGGCTTCAGGAAGCACTTAATTGGCAGGTGTTTCGTCCTCTGATAAGTATTTTTGGATTATTACGGGCCTTTTTCGATCAGTTTCCAGTTTCAGTTTCTGAGAAGGTTCTGTGTACAAACCAAACGTCAGGTTAGCAGGATTTTAGTTTTTGTAAAAATTCTCATTCTCATTCAGCATTTATTTACTTCTCTAATCAATGCAAATCATTGCAATTTGCGCCATTTGATTTTTCCCCTCAAACACCAAGCCACAAAGAGCAAGGGGCTCCATATTCTTATTGTTGGAATGCATTAGGCATTCCAATTATTGTTGGAATGCATTAAGATGCATTCCAAGTATTGTTCTTCGAATCTTTATTTCCGACGTATTCTATTTCTTCCGTGTCACCTTTCAACTCCTTCACACTTTCAGCCATTAAAACCGTTCAAATATTAAAATGTTCAGCTCCTTTCTGGCTTGAGGGCTATGACTTTTCAGCTTTCCACCTCTAATGCTTTAATTTATATGAATCAATAATGATCAATATTTTAACATGGTTTTCAAATGGAGTTTGTTTTCAAATCCTCTTAAACTTCTTCAACTTTCAGATTTTTCAGCTTCGCCAATCTTTCAGCTACAGACACCATTTCAACTTTCAAATGTTGACACAAGTCTGAACTATTTTATAAAAAAACTGCTTGTTGATATCCTACTTTTTTCATAATCACTAATTATGTTTCACTAGTTCTTCGTTCCGTTTCTGAGTTTTACATGAGTGTGTATTGCATTTGTTAGAGTGAGAGCTGAATGGCTAGGGTGCAGAGCAGAGTCAGAATCTGGTTAAAGAAATATGAAACTTCTGTCCTGTCAGCCAAAGTATACACTTTTGAGGCTTCATTTTTGGGGTGAGGTGATGGCATGGTTGTGCTGATTGGATTAATGTGGCTATGGAATCCCAGAGTTCTTTAGTTTTTGCCTAGGGAGCCCGACCGTGAGACAACAGCAGTCTCACGCTCCATAGGCTCCAATACAAATCTGCCGACATATTTCTCAAGAAAACCAGAAGGTACACATTTTGTAAACTGCCACAAGAGCGGTATTTATTACCGGACAGACATAAAAACCACCTCGTTGCGTTCGGTAGAGTCTTGGGTCTCTCACAAACTTCTTATTTTGTTAGATAGCTGTTATAGTTTTATGCTAGAGGACACTTGTTTGAGGTGTGGTTTCTCCTCAATGATTATCTGTACCTTAACCACGAAGCTCAGAATGAAGCGGTTTCGTTGAAATACGTATTGCTCTTTCAAATACTACTACAACCTCTACGAATATTACTAGTACTTCTAGTAGTACTACTACAACTGATATTTCTACTACCATAACTAACACTACTACTAGTATTTCAAGTAGTACTACTCTTACAACTATAATAAAAAGTACTACCAATATTTATACAGGTATTAATACTGCAACTACTACTAATGTTACTACATGTTCTCCCATTAATGTATTTCCAGTTCTTTAAAATAAATTCAGTTTTTCTAATATCTGTAATTTCAGCAAATGTATTAAAATTCCCTTCAACTTTCTGTAATTTCAACAATTTTCTGAAGTTCATTTCAGCTTTCAGCTTTTTGCATTCCAACGCATTTTCAGAAGGAAATGCATTTTCTAGTTGTTTGTTTTAGTTTTTATTTATGAGATTAATGTGAAACGGTTTTTATTTTCAGGTAATGGTTTAGAGCGACCACCCATTTTCTGTTCGTGTTCTGACCAATGGTGCTCAGTGTGTGAACAGGCAATAGCTAATATGCTAGCCCCCAAGTGGCAATGAATACAGTTAACTTCATGCAAAAGATTTGTTGATTAAATTGCGAAAATATAATTGTACTTCTGTGCTGTCAAATCAACCCCTAAATATGTCTCCCTAACTGCTATTGCCATTGGCTTATACTTTAAAATGAAATTATAATACTTTATGGCTACTGCATTGTTTGTTTCTAATAGCAATTACAAAGAGGCCATTTCCTTTGTTAAGTGTGCAGAAAGTTATTCCAACTCACCCTCCTTTGATGTAATCTAAGAAAGTGAAATCTGACTCCACTGAGAACGAAAGCAGGGTCACCTGGAAATGAAGACATGGAGAACCTTTGGATTAGACATGGTGGTAATTATCTTTCCTTAAAAAAAAACTACCACACTTGATACTCAATTTAGTAAAAGATGTGAGCTGTCTGGTTTTGGATGAGTGATCAATTTACATTGGAGAGGTTGAATGCATTTGTATGCATTATATGCAAATGGTCCAGACTGCTGGGTAAGTTGTTGTTTCAACCGGTGATTGGTGTCGCTCAGTCTGATCTTGCAGATCTCAGTTTGCCCCTAAAGTTCTACATCGCCATTATTTTTTGTTTTATCACACTAATCACCAAAACCAGCGTGATAATTAAAAGGGATTAATACATTTCTGAAGCATGTGTAGAGTAGAAAAAGAGCCAAAGTCTCAGTCCTGGTTTGCTGCTTCAGCCACACTTACTGTCCCAGAGTTAATATATTTCTTTTTCTTCATTTTCTTCTTGGTATTAACCACCTAAAAAACAAGTTGATAGTACAGGTTTTAAAAAATGAAGATATGTCGGTCACAATTTAAATTGCCATCAGCAGAAATATAACTATATAATATGGTAAATGATAATTTAATATACAAGATATGCACTATTTTCATAAATACATAACGTACAAACTACTATATGTACACGCACCCTATAAAGGTGTGTCAGTTACAATGAAGAAGTTTCTGAAATAAATCTAAATAACGTCACCGGACAATTAAACAAGCATATAAAAAAATCAGAAAAATTCCGTCTAAAAAACTCCAGTACATTTCCCTAAGCTACGCTCTGCAGTATTTTATTCAGACACTGAAACAAAACGGCAACCTTAAATCCACTGAAATATTGCATTACTAGTTTATCATTTTGAAACTCCCTATAATTTGTTTCCTTATTAAAATATAATTTTCCATTACTCATCTCACCCAATTTTACACAAATCACACCCTGTAGTTATACAACAAATGTTATGAAGGTGTTGTACGTGGGTGGCGGGGGGAGAAGTTCATTGTATAAATGTATGCAGTTTGTCTCTCCAACAGAGTGGACATTAAAGGGGACAAACCATGCTCATATTTAGGTTCCTACTTTGATTTGGGGTTTCTGCTAGACTAACTAGGTTGTTAGTTATTTAACTGTTCGTGGGTTAGTGGGCACACCCGATTCCCAAATGTTTTTGCACAAGCACTGAAGGAGTTAACGATATGACCCATTCAGGGAAGGTGAGAAGGTCAGGTTGTGTGTGCATGAAGTAACAGGTGAGCAATAGGGGGAATTGTAGCACATGTAAGAATACAGAAGAACTTCCACCGGAGTAGTATAGACTCCAAGCTTTTACATTAAAACACAAATCTTAGACAACAACAATTGATGGGTGAGACATGCACTGCAAGACTTTCGTTTACTGTACCGGTACTCTACCAGCCAGAGAACAAGAGAGAAATGTCAATCTGAGACCAAAGACGTCTCAGCTCATTACCCCGATTCTCTATGGCTGCTAGGCATGAAAGTGACAGCCCCTAATTCAAAATGGGGGGATGGCAATTTGTCTGACACACTGAACAATCTGCTGATGCAAAAACTAAAGGTCCTTTCAGTCTCACTGGGAGGGGGAGAGGAATCAAGAGTAGCGTATAATGAAGCTGACACCCAAAAGACAGGTATTTGTCCTTCGGCTGGAGGCCACCAAACCACAGTGGTCTAGAGCAGGACTGTGCTTTTTCATAAAGGGTCATGTTTAATGGTAGCCTTCATTCTTAATTGTACAACCTTGCAGATTTAGCTCTGAAATTCTCCGTCATTTTCAAGCCTTGGATTCTCGGACCACACTTTGTTTGTAATTTGCATACCAAGCTGCATTATGGGGTATTAGGGGACATATTTAGCTATCCCTTGGGAAGTACTGAAGTATCTGTCATTACACAAAATCCCTGGATTGTGTTTCTATTAATCCTGGTTCACAACACTGCTAATAGGGCCATTTCCTTGTGTGTAGTGTGCAGGGGCCTCATTCATAAACGTTGCGTACGCACAAAAGAAGGCGTACGCCGCTTTCTACGCAATAATTGGTATTTATAAAAAGCAAACTTGACGGAAAAATGTGCGGTCCTTCACGCAAGCTCGGACCCATGCGTACGCACAAAAACGGGTGAAATGAGAACCGTCGGTAAATGCAAGAAACACGCAAACGTGTGTAAAGTGTGTAAAACTAGACTGTTGTGTAAAAGAAATGCCAATACTGCCGCTCATAAATAACACAAACACCCGTCTGATCGATCTGCAGCGTAAAACAAACAGAAATACAAATTAACACATTTTCAAAAGGAAAAGTGAAATATGTTCTGCAATAATATTGGCATGTTATGGAATTCATCCTTAAAACACAGCTGTTGCTTTTCAGATGCAATCAAATAGACTGTAATAAAATGCCATGATGCCATCACAATGCGTGATGACGCGAAATGGCTGATCTTGCGCTCTTAGAAGATGTGGCAAATGGAAGGATTCGCGCTGTGGTGCAGCGCGCGATCGACCTGTTTAAGGGCAGATGGCGCTGCCTCGACTGCACTGGAGGGAGGTTATTGTTTACTCCTGAAAAGGTGTACAAAGTGCTGGCATGTGCTGTGCTACAAAATGCGGCACAACTTCGAAACGTGCCTCGACCCCCCTGAGGCCGATGGCTGTGTTGGCCCAGACCCTGTCCCCGATCCCCAATCATTGCCGCCAGTCTCTCATCAAGAGGGGACAGCTCCCGTGTCCCCTTTCCCCCATCCGTGGCAGATGCTTTTTTGCATCCACTTTGATGTCACATTGCATGAAAAGTGGGATTTTCGTCAGTATGCGGCACTGTAGATTGTCGTGGAATTTCAGGTTTATGGCTGTTCACGGCACTTTGCGGGCAACACCGAAAACTGCCGTAAATTGTCAGAAATTGATCTGGGCCTCCCTTGGCAGTTGTCCCCCCATGACCCCCTCCTCCTAATTCTAGGGGAGGCTTTGACATGTAAATGAAAATGCGGTGAGCTATACAAATGCAAATCAGGGTCGCAGAGGGAGTTTTAGCCCAGGTGACATTTTTTTAAAAGGTAAGAAAATCTCAGGCTCAGTTGCCTAATTATAGACTCTTACATTTTAGCTTGAATTGATTTATTTAATTCAAATATGCTAGATTACTGTGTACGCCATTATCAATGGCAAATGTTATGTAAAAAAGATACACAAAATAACTTCTTTAAAAAATGAGTTTTAATCAAGGTAAAATGAGCATTCCATGCAAACAACATTTTAATCAGAATGAGGGGTCTGCAGAGACCACAGTCTCCTAGAGCTCAACTACAGTGCATAGTGGCAGGACTACAGTGACCTTTTCTTTGGTCTTACTTAAATGCACAGAGGATGTATTAACCACACATCTTCTAGCAATGCGCTCAACTGGCAGAAATGATACTGGGCATGACGTATCTGTTCCCTGCAAGCCCCAAACTTCTATTGGCTTTCCATAAAAATGTCTGTCCGGGTGGAGATGAAGCCAGGAAACTTTTGCAAGAACATGTTTAAATGCCGTACCCTTTGACACAACATTAAAAACTATAAACTGCTTTATAATGGCTGGTCGTAGTTCTGCTAGAGGGTCAAGGACGGGTTCCTCAAAACTGTTAGTGTTTCCACACCACTTAGCGTAAATATACGCTGACCTTTATGCTCTGCATCTATCGATTGAGTAAGTTACATTCATATACGTTACCCGTTTACATGTCATGGCAAAACATTCAACCTCAGTGACACAAGGGTACATCTGATGATACATTGTCAACATTGCATGTCTGTCAGACTCATCCAAGATTGTCTGGTGGAATGGAGAAAGAGGCACCACTGTACAGTTTTCTAGGGAAAGTCGTTCTGCTGACACCAAAACACTGCTTTACATAAAGCATATCAGCTGTTTCAAAGTCCCAACTATTTGTCTTCCGTATAACAATAACCTCGTATGTGATTGGAGGACCCTTAGACTCCTCGTCCAATCACGTGTGAGGTCATAGGCATGACTCAGACAGCAGTACTATATTCAGAAGAACTGTATCTCCAGTTCCTTTGTTTGGTTTTTGCTGGTTCGTGAATAATGGCTGGACGACGTCTCGCGTTCAACTCGCGTTCAACTCCTCTCCGCGGTCAGCAACTTTCGGCCAGTCCGCAGACAGACGAGAAGAAACTGCTGAATGCTCTCAGTGGATTGTCTCGTCAACTCCAACAACAAACTGCCGATATCAACGAGCGGTTCGCTCCACTGGAGCGTTCGGGACTCTCCAGGTTGCTGTCCATAGAGGAGAGGTTGGCGGCTTTGGAGGAACTGACTCAAAGAAGAGGAGATGGGCGCACAATCCCAAGATAGCGGTAAGAATATGTTCGATGAATGCAAGCTAAGCTAAAAGTAGCGTAGCCTAAAACGAAAGCTAAGAGTAGCCTAGTAGCCTTACAAGTGAGCAGAAACAGCTTTATTAAAGTGTATTTTCTTTGCCGTGTCGTTTACAGGAAGCGGTGCGCCGTCTTCACAACTCCGAGACAAACTACAGGCGCTACGAACCGGAGCAAGGGTAAGAAGAATATGCTTTTATTCTGCAGTATAAGGAAATATATACGTATAGATCATACGGTCATAACTGTACATTTTGTTTTCACAGACTAATCTCCCCTCATAATGAGGCAGTGACCTCGTATTTGCTCCGGGAAAAGTCCAGATTTCGATTAGATAAAGACGTCATTGTGTGTAAGTGACACTGTTTACTGTTTCTCCTTCCTTGTTAAATGTTACTGTGACTTGCGTTTGATTTTTTTTTTATTCATACCACACTCATTTAACGGTTTTCCAGCCACCTGTAAGACGTATTTTGAGACGGGACGCAGGAGCTTCAGGTTTTCCCAGCTGGAACACTCATTGCGGGCGGAAGCTGCGAAGAATTCAGCGCGGAGTCGAGCGAGAAGAAAGAGGGTAAGAGTTTATTTGCTGACTTTTTTCAGGTGCATTGATAGATGTGTTGTGTCCATACGCATCGCATCGCACAGAACTGATTCATTGTTGTTTTTACAGCTGCTGGAACCGACTCACGTCGGACGGAGAGGATGGCGTTGTTGGCGGGGTCTCGGGGTGGATTGTACGGTCGCCGCCATTTCTATTTGAAATACAGAGCCACACACACTAGGCACAACAGACCTGCCTCGGAAAACACGTCGCCAGTGATGGTCTACAACCCAGAGGAGGCAAACGGACAGTTTACTGAGCTGTAGTTTTTTAAACCGCCTTTAAGTGTGGGCCTCACTTTGTATATAGTTGTTGTTTGTATGTTATTAATAAAGCTCTTTCTTTGCATAAACATGTGGCTAATGTTAATTTTCTCTATAAATTCATTGATGTCCTGGTTGGTATCCTAATAATAGTGTAGTAGCCTACATAGGATAACAATGAAATGAAAATACAGCATAATATGAATATATAAATAAAATGAGGCGGGTGACCAATAGCGACAGATCTGCCAACCAATCACGAGTGATTGAAAGTTGTGGTTTCAGCCAATCATGAGCAAGGAAACTCAAGCCTGGTCTGCCCAGGTGTAGTTTTGCTGCCAATCACGAGTGATTTTACTTGTTAGAAAGTTGTGGTTTCATCCAATAAGGAGTAAGGATATTCAAGCCCACTCGGCTCGGCCACCCGCGGTTTCGCTGCATTCATATGCTAATTAGGGCCATTCGCACCTCCGGCGTTCCACAGACTATATATGGGCAATTATGGGCGTGACATGAAGTTGCAAAAGCTGCGCTGCATTTAGAAGTGATTGTGATTTATTAAGGGAAAACTGCGTAGGACGTGCATGCGCACGGTTATATAAGTCTGAATATTTCTGTGCGTACGCACGTCCTATGTTTCATCCGTACGCCACTTTTGGCGCAAATCCGACGCAAGGTTTTATAAATGAGGCCCCAGGTGATTATAGTTTCAAAGTAAATCTTATAGCACAAATTGGGGGAGAAATAATTCATTGGATCTATAACCAAACAGAATTGTATAGAATATGAAAGAAATAATTTATACAACATTTTCTGTAATTATAAATGCCTTGGTGCGCAGGATAATAAAATGCCACAGTTCAACAGCAATGCCAGAGATAGAAATGTCTCTCGTGTCAGAAATATGCACCTCCAAGACCTGGCGAGGATCTGTGTCGGAACCTTGTCCTCCTACTACTGGAGTTCCTCAGGATTCCATCCTGGATCCCCTCATCTTCTCTCTCTACACCAACTCTCTCGGCACTGTCATTCACTCGCATGGCTTCTCCTACCACAGCGATGACACCCAACTAATTCTCTCCCTCGGACACCCAGGTGGCAGCGCGGATCTCTGCCTGTCTAACTGACATCTCTCAGTGGATGTCCGCCCACCATCTGAAAATCAACCCGACAAGACTGAACTACTTCTCTTTCCCGGAAAAGATTCGCTTACCCAGGACCTGACAGTCAACTTTGGCAACTCCGTGTTAACGCCCACTTTAACTGCTAGGAACCTCGGCGTCACACTCAACAGCCAACTCTCCCTGACTCCCAACATTACTGCGACAACACGACCCTGTAGATACACGCTCTACAACATCAGGAGAATACGTCCTCTTTTCACTCAGAAGGCTGCCCAGGTACAGATTCAGGCTCTTGTCATCTCACGCCTGGACTACTGCAACTCCCTCCTGGCAGGTCTCCCTGCTACCGCCATTCGACCTTTGCAGCTCATCCAGAATGCAGCAGCTCGACTGGTCTTTAACCTTCGGAAATTCTCCCACACTACTCCACTCCTCCGCTCTCTTCACTGGCTACCCGCATCCAGTTCAAAACATTGGTGCTCAGGTACCATGCTGTGAATGGATCGAGTCCAGCTTACATCCAGGACATGGTCAAACCCTACATCCCGATCCGCACTCTCCGCTCTGCATCTGCAAAACTGCTCGTCCCTCCCTCACTGAGAGCAAAACACTCGACTAGATCACGACTCTTTGCTGTCCTTGCTCCGAAATGGTGGAACGAGCTCTCTGATGACCTCAGGACCGCAGAGAGCCTTCACATCTTCTGCCGCAAATTAAGACACACCTCTTCAGACTCTACCTTGACTAAAAGACTAACAAAATTGTAGCACTTAAATTGTACTTATAAGGACACTTAGCATGAATGAAATATGGTTGAATGCACTTATTGTAAGTCGCTTTGGATAAACACGTCAGCTAAATGACATGTAATGTAATGTAAAGAGAACGCACTGCGTGGACACATTCCATAGCCAAAAGACAACGCTAAAACACAGGTAACACTCACTTCGTAGACATTAAACTGGCTCTGCCCACGTGCTAGCTCTCGATAGCTGGTTGTATAATCCCCAATGAAATCATGGCTGGAAAAAAATAAAGGAGAAAAAACAACAGCGAGTAGGAAGAAAAACAAGTGAAAGTTGTCGGGGATATCATATGAAAATTTTGTTATGGCTAACATTTGAGTTAATATATTTAAATTGAAGATTCGAATGACACTTACCTGCCATCCCTATCCCAATCGTATACTTCCACCTTGATAGTTCTGGAAAAAAACAAAATCGGGTCAGATTTTAAAGCAGCAAGGCAGGTGGTAAACAATCTTACCACAAAGTATATTCCGTAGCTCAATCACACCAGTTAAGTGTACAATGCCTGGATGTGCTATCCATGAAAAAGGAAGGTCTAGAGACAATGTCTGTCTTGTGTCTCTTCTGACCACAGCATTATTATAGGTCTAATGGTACCCCTTTAATATCGTGTGACATTTTTTTACTCGATTAATGTGGGAATTTTGTCTGAAAAGACAGAAATTAATGATCACTGGGGCACCATGACATTTTTATATAATTTAGGGAATAGTGCATGTCTGATTATGTGCCACGGTGTCATCCTGCCAGGGAAAATGAACCTCTCTCCTCAGCACGAGACAGCACCAACAGATTTTCAGTGCCAATGACACTGGGGTAAATATCATGATTGACTGCCATAAGGAAAAAAACATGTGGATGTTTATTTAAGTGTTTACCCAAAAGAGTTCTTGTTCAGTTTGGTCTTTAAAGGAAACCAATGAGTTCCATGGATCCAAAAGCTTTCATTAGATGTGGATTTGGCAGCCCCCATGGACGAAGGTGGGAGTACCTCCCAGGAAAAACAGATTTTCTTTAGAAAACCTCGTATTCAATGCAGCCTGATCTGACAGTGTGACCTTAATGCCTTTTGCCTTAATGTCTCATTTAGTTATGTAGGTCATAGGCATCGGTGTTAACTTGAGATTGAAATTTCATAACATGTTTCCATCTCAATACCTTAAGGTAATCAAAAAAACATTTCAAATATTATACTGCAGCCCATAGAATTATTTTCATTCTGTTTTAAAATGGTGCCAGGAACCCTAAAATAAATTAAAATAACATCCCGTAGCTTTGATATTTGCCAACTTTAGAAAATAGGCTGAGCAGCTGGCTGCACTTTGAAAGAGTAAACGTGAACTTGTGTCTACTGTTCAGAAAAAAGACTGATTACATTCATCAGTCTTGCACAAATATGGCCAAAACAATGTACAAGCAGGGTAAACAAAAAAACTTTTTTGGCACTCCTGAGTCAGATTGATCTCACCCCATGTCTCCCCTCTCCTCCCCCCTGTCTTTGACAAGAACTGACACCCACCCAGATCCACATGAAACGGAAGCAGTCGGCACATTAAAGACTCTCTTCCCACCACTGAAGAAATGAAAGATGAAATAAGCCCCACTTCCTCCCTGTCACCTGGTCCCCGTTATTCTGTGCTGACAGTTAGTTCTTTTGAGGCGGTTTTCAATGCTGTGAGAGAAAGTAATGTGCACCGAGGTGGTGGAAACATGATGATTGTCTTCCCCCTGTGGAAAAAAAGGGAATAGGAAGAGGTACGATGAAAACTGAAAGAAAAAAGCCTGTTTTCTGCCCCGACAAACCATCTGCAGTGGTTTCATACCTGCAATGTTACTGGAGTGCCAGCAAGCGGTCATCATATTGGCTCAAGCATGTACAATACATATCCTCACAGCTGCATCACCAAAACAAATCTGCCAAAGCTAGTATTCTAAGGCACCCTTAATAATCATGACTCATCTTCTGTAATGGAGGCGCAGATTATCGAGGGAAAGAAGGAGAGGGCATTAAATGCGGGACAATTTATCAACCACAATGACGGATCTCTTTGATCTTTTGTCGGACAAATAGACTACGCTTGAGTCGGCTGAGCTGGCTTGATGTTGAGAAAGAATGGATCCCTTTTGATATTTCTAGGAATAATCGGCATAGGATAGCATACCTTGTGTACAACTTACACAGATGAAATACAGCATACAGGTAGGTTTGAAGAATATGTAAATACAGTAAAGAGATGATAGTAAAGCTAAAATGTTACTGCTTTCTCTTTACACTCCATTGATGTTTTGGATTTTTTTTCCTAACAATTGTTTTCTACTCCTGCCTCCTGCCTTATATCGGTCCTTCCTGGGCTGTCGTTCCTTCTAGTTTCTTCACCAAGATGCGGTCTTCCAAAGCAGTGTGTGTATGTGTTTGTGTGTGGAGAGACTTCTCACTCTCTCTACAGACTGCTAGCTGCTGCCACTTGAAGGATAGTCTAATCTGTGCACCACCCAGTCGCCAGCAGTGTTTTGTTATCCTTGACTGTGCTTCGAAGATATTCTTAAAGGTATGACAAAAATATTGTATGAGACAGATAATTTCAATCTAGGATTTCTGGCTGTTGTTTCCTGGCAATACCAAGCAACGCGTTATCGTCGCAGGTGGGTCCTGGCCAAGATGGCAGCATACAATATAACCTCTTAAAAGTGCATAAATCCTATCTTTGAAAATGACTTCTCCAGAGACCGAGTTGAAAGTAATTTAGTACTAGTCCTTAATCCTGTAGATTTATTAAATAAATGAGTTCCAAGCAGTTTTTAAGATCATTCAAAGATTATGGTGCAAAAAATCTAAACGTGCCTCAAGAGTCAAAGGTCCAAGTCCAAGCGATCAAATGATGCAGGTACTGTTTTGCATGAGTTTTCTATCAATACGGGGAAACCGCCTCAATTCATCACCATGGAAACAAACAAGGTCAATAAGTTCCATCTTATTGCCAATTGTTGTGTGCCCTAGTCTGTAAAATGGACATAGATCCTTCAGTGGACCAAAAGGAAACAATATTATTGCACGGCAGTCTTAGCTCCATATTTAACAAATTATTTCCACTGGTTCTTAAGCACTTTTCAAATCACTGAAAGCTGTCTATCGGTTGATAGACGTAAATAATGATCATATATACGTCCAAACAAACAGCCTTAAGAGCAGTGTTTCTTGAACAACTACAGTTTGGATCATAACGTGCCATCGCAGAGGTTGAAAAAATTTAAATAAATTTAAGTTAATAAAGTTTATTCCTCACCCATGCAAGTATAAAACAGTTGTCTCGGTTGATTCATAAAGACTTGGAGAATGCATGTGGCCTATCACTTTATATTATACTCCGGTGTTTGCAGGGCCAGGCCCTTCCTATAGGCAACACCTAGGGTGCCAAATTTACATAATCAATGCTGTTGAGAGAAAGATGTAACAACGTCTCGCTGACCAGCTATTAAACCAGGAAGTCCGAATCTGTGAATATCGAACCGAACTGTAAACGTTCTACGGACACTTGCCCCCTCACTCAACAAACAGGGAGGACAGGGACGTCTGACTTTTAGCGGAGACTAAATTATCTTTGGTATTCCCGAGTTCGAAATAAATTAAACTTCTAGGGAGATAAAATACTTTCCGGGTGGTATTTATTCCGTATTTATTGTGATTAGTAACTATTGAAAAGTCCTGAGAGTTCTCTTTATTGAACCAGTGTTGCTAATTTCTCAATGGCATGCCGCCAGAAGCCGCCAGGCTTGCAATGTACCAAAACAACGAAGGAGCCTGCGCATGTGCATATCTTAAGTCATAATTTTGACTTTTTATCTCAGCATTTTTACTATTTAAGTCATAATTTCAACTTTCTAACCCTTAATTTTTTGTGGCGGAAACAGGCTTCCATAGTGGTGTGAAAACATGCAGAAGCGTCACTCGGCGAATCCGTGAGAGTTGGCAGCTCTGCGTTAGCTAGTCAGCAGCATTGTATCTAGCAAGCAAGCCATCATTAGCATCATTTATATCGGTTTAATTTGGATAGTTAAATATTTGAAACTGTGTAAATCTTCTAAACATGTTTACAAACAGCTCAATTGTTACCTATATTGCATAATATTACAGCTCATCTTCGTTGTCAAAGGGAAACGTGCCTAAATACATTAAAATTATTAAGCTGTACCTGGACTCTTGACCATAAGGAGAAAATCGTTAATGTCAAGCCATTCTCTTCAGATTAGCTTTTCACATATAATTTTACAATTTTACATTTTTCACCTGATAGTAACTGGTTTTATTGTTTTTAATTGCATTTATTATGCTTCTTTTATTGCTTATCTGTTTCTGCTATATCTGTGCTGGTTTTACTTTAAAGTGTCTGAGTACCATGTAAAGCGCTTTATAAATACAATATATTATTACTGAAAGATTTTGTTAACAAATGGTATTCAATCTTAATGTACAATCTGCTATATATGCATTCCACACAGTATGTTGTCTGGATTGTATTTACGCTAATGTAAATAGTAGATACATGTGAATAAATGTGTAATGGTGATGAGTGGTGTTATGGAATGCTAATATTTTATATTTTAAGATGTCCACTCTCACCTCCTGTAGATGAGGATTTAGATGTATTTACTGCTTGTCGTATTATGACTCACAAGATCAGTGATAAATCTCAACATATGAACAAGATAAAAAAAGGTTGGTGGTTCGAGTCCCGGCTGTCCCACTCAAGTGTCCCTGAGTAAGACACCTAACCCCTAATTACTCCCCGGGCAAAAATGTAAAACGCCATGGGTTAAAAATGTAAGTCGCTTTGGATGAAAGTGTCAGCTAAATGACCTGTAATGTAACAACACTGTTCGGTATTCTCAGTAATTAGGGTTTGACTGCTTAAAAACAGAATAGGGAGCTGAGAGAAGGAAGAGAGGCTGAAAAAAGACCTGGTAATTTCATCTTCCCTCACAGGTCCTTCGTGATTTAGCTTGCTTTCTTCCCTGGGTTTTATATTAGAGGCTGGCAGATAAGTTGGAGGGTGAACTGAATTCATATCCCTTCTGACACAGCATGTTTACATCAACTAGAAAATGCAGAAAATATGTTGGAATGCTGCAAGTTTAAAGCTGAAATGAATTTTAAAAAGCAGAAATTACAGATACTATACTATTAGTCATAGTAGTATGTGTAGTAAAATGAGTGGTAGTTGTAGTATTAATAGCAGCATAAATACTAGTACTTTTTGTTATTGTAGTGTGACCCGGTGATATTCTACACACAAGAGACAGAATAAACTGGAGCCAGAGACTATTTTTGTCACGACCGGACAATGGCCTGAACCCAAATGCAGAACTCCGGAGACGATGTTCGAAATAAAAGTTTATT